ATCCCATAGGCTGGCTAGCTTAAAACGGGCCATCTTCCCACTAAACAAAGTCGTGAACCATAGTAGAATTCGGCAGTCGACCGGGTTGCCTCAGGAGTCCTATTTAGAGGTAGCACTGCTTACCCCCTCGCGGGAGAGGGACTAGAAGTCACGTCGCCTACCCTCTGATCGTGGATCGTAGACCCTAAAACGCGGTCGAAAAACTTCAAGGTAGAACGTACCGTCCCCATAATCTCAGCCACACTCCATAGGCTGTTTGAGTGATTCTGCTCACCCTGACAGCCTGGAATGGTCGTTTTTAGACAACTCGCGGGATAACGAGCGATTAAGTGCATTTTACGCTTTGACAATGGGGAGCCGACCAAGCTCGTCGAAACGTCAATATCTAAAAAACCCGTTCCGATAAGCCCATCTTTTTCTTCAAAACTTAATGGTGTTGACACTGAAAAGGAATCCATTCCACCGTTATAGAGGTACTTGGTCGTACGTGCGGCCAACGCCGGGATAGTTTCGACGATAACAACGATGAAATCTGTAATCTGGTCTTCGAGAAGAATAGGTTACACGCAGCTTACATACACCGTGGCACGGACGAAAATAAAGTTGCCTCCTTCCGCTCTCCACGTCTGGTGCAACAAAGACTGTGGAAGATGTAAAATGCTTGAATAGATCACAAGGCTGAGGAAATAGAAGACCACGTGGACCGCAGCGACGTGTAGGATTTCTTCGATTTAGTCAAGGCAGACTACGGTCCACGAATCCAGGGGACTGCGCCGCTGACAACCTCTGGCGGAAGGACACTTCTTACGGAGAAATCACAGATATTCAACTACTGAGTCGAGAACTTCAGAAAAGTATTCAGCCGGCCATTCACAAGTTCCAACGACGCCGTCAACAGGCTAGTCCAGATGGAAACTCACAATGACCTAACCTTCCACCTTACCTCCTGGAAACAATCCAGCCGTACACCAGCTCTCCAGCGAGAAAGCCCTAAGATACGATGAAATGCGGTTGAAGTCTGCAAGCATGGCGGCCCCTAGTTAATGGACATGCTTGCATCACTGTTTCGGGAGATATGGCGGCAAGGAAAAGCCCCCCAGGACTTCAAGGACGTCATCATTGTGCACATCTACATGCGCAAGGGTACCGTCAATTCTGTAGTAATCAAAGGGAAATCTCACTCCTCGAGGTTACCAGCACAGTCTCCCCTCGCATCCTCCTCAGTCGTGTCAACTGCCATCCGGAACATTGGTTACTCCCCGAAAGCTAATATGGATTCCAAAGGAACCGTGGAACCGTCGACATGTTCACGGCCCGTCAGCTGCACAAAAATACGAGGAAACGCAAACCAGCCCCGCAAAGGCCTTTGGTATCGTGAATCGCGATGGACTTTAGAGGATCACGCTGAAATGCGGATGTCCGGAATGCTTCACATATGGTTCGCCAACTGAACGACGAAATGGTGGCTCGCATCATGGACAACGGGGCAGTCTCGGACGCTTTTTGAGTGACCTGTGAGGTGAAGCAGGGGTGTGTATTTGCTCTCACCGTCTTCAGCCACATTTTCTCCGCTATGCCGACGGATGACTACCGCAAGGAGCGGCCAGAAATTGACATTGGCTACCACCGCAAGGGACAACTGCTCAACATCTGGCGCATGAAAGCGAGCTCCAGAGCATCCAAGGCCAGCATCCACGATCTACTGTTCTTGGGTGAACGCGCACTCGACACGATGACGGAAGCGGCTATGCATAAGAGCGTGGATCGCTCCGCCGCCGGCTGCGCCAAATTCGGACTGGCCGTCAATGCGGAGAAGACGGTGGTCGTGCATCAACCGGTGCCAAACGTAGAATACAGAGAACTTACATCACCGTCAATGAAGCTTGCCTAACAGCTGTGGACAAACTCGCTTACCTATGAAACACAATCTCATGGAATGTCAAGGTCATTTATGATGTGACCCACCAGGTCTTAGAAGTCAGTCAGGCATTGGACTGGTTGCAATTTCGGTCTGAAATCGCTGAGGTTACTGCCTTAATACAAAGTTCAAGATGTGCAGGGCGGTAGCCGTGAAGACGCTAATCTAAGAGATGGATACTTGGACTCTCTACGCCAATCAATCCAGGAAGCTGGACCACTCCCACCTCAGCTATCTCTCTTCAGAATCCTAAAGTTACGGCGACAGGATAGGTTCCCGGACACAGTAGTTCTGGAATGGACAGGAAGCTTCGGCATCCACACCATGTCGAGGCAACTGCAACTGCACTGGAGAGGCCATCTCGTGAGGATGAATGATGAGTATCTACCCAAGCGACTATTCTACGGCGGCGTCGCTACAGGTGATCGTCGAAAAGAAGAGCAAAGGCACCACTATGTAAGAACACCCTTTGAATGCCCCTAAAGGACATACAAATCAATCCGGAGGGCTGGGGTGACCTTGCCCAGGATCGACCAGTATGGACAACATCAGTGAAGACAGGAGCAATAATCTACGAAACCAGAAGAGCGACTCCCAAGTCACAAGCGTTGCGGACCCACAACCCAACACCAAAACTCTTCCACTGTGTCCACTTTGTTAACGGACATTTCGTACACAAATCGGCCTTTTCAGACATCTTGGGACCCAGTGCAATAACAGCTTGACAAGTGTGCCTATTACTAAAAGAATCACCTCCATCGTCATCTCCTACCGCAATGCCAACTGAACCCGCGACGACGGTCACCATTGGTGGGCAAACTTCTGAAACCCCCTTCACAGTCCCCCACTACGATATCCACCATATATATCATAGGCGTCGCGACGACAGCGAGGACGACGACGACGGCCACCACCACCACCGACGAGAATACTCCCGAAGTTCCGCCACACATGACAACCACCACTGCTTTCACCAACATCATTGAGGACTCGCCATAATCTGTTACTATGATAATCACACCTTCAAATCCCGCATCGGCCTGGTCGGTCGCTTTCGAATTTTACCCACGGAGTCTGGCGAACCGGTGCCAGGAGCACCAACATACGCCAAAATATACCCGCAGTATCCGCCCCAACAATGCGTCACACAGGAAAGGCGTTGGAGCAACACGAGGGGCAGGTATGGGCATGACACACGCTAACAAGACAGCTTAGAGTCCGCATACACTATATCACGTCTAGGCGCAATCTCACATCGCGTTAGCCACTTGCTTCCAAACGCCGCATCAGATGGTTGGCATGTTTGAGCAGAGAACTGGCGCATGGCTAAGGGAAGAAAGGTTGAGGTTGACTCTGGGGATTCCACATTCCACATTCCTCACTATAAGGGATCTGGCACACCTCGAGACAATCACGACGTGCCAGAAGCCGTGGCTTTGAAGGTTATCGACTGACGGGACAGAGGGTCAGGCTTCAATAGCTCCTTATTGATGTGCTTTCTATAGCACTCCCGCTCAGATGAAATCCCATCCGCCTCCTCCCTTTTCCTCTGTGAAATCATGGCTAATTGTACGCAGACAAGGTCATGTACAGCACATGTTAACGGACTATTTAGTTTTGTTAACCACCGCTTCCAGTCGACTCAGGTCGTCCTGATTTAGTCTTGCCCCCGGGTCCAAGTGGGTGAGGGAGGAGAGCATGCGACAGATGTTGCGCAAGTCTGGGATCACTATAAACGAATTCACGCTCAAGTCACCGTCTTAGACCCACCTTGCTGCCGGGCACGCAGTGGACATAGTGGTCGGCGACGGCAGAACCGTCGGTTACTATGATAGCTGAGGAGCTGGGTTCGGTCAAGTTCACCGGTAATCCACGCATGAAGAGAACGTTTTTTCCTTTGTTAACTGAATTCGGGGAAAATTTTAAACAATTCTCGAGGGCTGGATAGCCTGCCTCTCTGCACTATAACGAACTTGGCGCCGAAACACCGGCGTGTAGTGATTGAAAGCGGCTCGCAGAGCGCCAAAAACCGTCTCATGACCTTGTGTCCGCCTCTTTGCGGAAACAAATTTGTCACCCTCATCAGCGCCTTCGAAGACGCATGAAGAGAACGTTAGGGGCGACTTCGTCTTCTTTCCCTCCTTTGTTAACTGAATTCGGGGAAAAATACTAAACAATTCTCGAGGGCTGTATGGCCCGCCCCTCTCCACTATAACGAACTTGTCTTCTACGTATTGGTGCCGAAAAGCGGCTAGCAGGGCGTCAACAACCGTCTCATGGTCTTTGCGGGAACAAATTTGTCACCCTCATCAGCGCCTTCGAAGATGTGAAGGACAAATTATACGAAAACCTGCATGCTCTCCTACCGACTGTGCCAAAGGCGGACGGATTGATTGCCCTTGATGACGTCAGTACCCGCGTCGGCATAGACCTCGTTGCCTAAGTTGGAGCGTTGGGTCGCCACATAGTAAGTAGCTGGAGCACTAATAATCTCCTTTTTCTGCAGACCTACACAGAGGATTAGCTCCTTACCAACATCTGAAGTCTTCCGATGCGGAAGAAGGCGACGTGAATTTATCGCCGCTCGCGACACGCGTGATTAGCGTGACATGCTAGTGACCAGGACCATATGTGGCAGACCGCCGAACGAACAGCGGTCTTGTTGTCTCCCAAATGGGGCTTCAACTGAAATCGTGCAGGCATTCGCAAGGTAATTGAATGCAAAGTAGGTTGAATACTGCATGATTGGACATGGCTACCTCCCGATTGGGTTTTAACAATAGACTGAATCTCCATCTGGAATGAATGCAAACTCCAGAAGCGAATGCCACTGCTCAGAAGCGACTTTGTCGACTGTGGAACGTCGTCCACTCCCCTTCCCTAGAAATAGTAAGCACTGTCTGCCACTGCGCCCGCAGTCCTTCTCCAGCCGTCTGGACTCTCTTTCTCTCTGTCGACATTGTAATACGGTGGGTATGAAAACGGCTTGTCGGGAAAGTGTCACATAGGCCCTTCCTACTACCAAAAAATCACATAAAGTCACCAGTGCGTCCTCGTGCCGGTGGTAGCTTTCGTCGCTTGCGCGATGGAGCCATCGATTATTGTTGTGGTTAAGAAGCTGTGTTCCTTTCGCAGTTTCTCGCAACAATTATAGACGTAGACTATCACCCGATCACGCAAAGGCGATTAGTTGTTTTCCTCCTTTCTATTTTAAATTGGGCATTTGAAAATATGGAGACACAAAGTCGTGAATTTCGTAAAATACCCATTGTGCGAGTGATTATGATAAATCAGTATCTGATATTACGGCTTTTGCAACGCAGATATTATGGCGGAAACGGAAATAAGAGATCTCATGGGCGTACTTTTGACCTGTCCATTGGACGTAAAAGAGATTAACAATAAACTAAGCTGGAGCACATTACACCATACTCTACCGCACGGAGTGGGACAACTCATCTTCCAATTACAAGGCTCAGACCGACCGTAAATAAACCGCACACACATGGCAGCTACAGATTGCCATGAAATTTGGAGATAAATTGTCCCAAATCGTTTCCTTATGGTGAACATTCGTTTAGAAACAAATATTTGCTGGGAAACGGTGCGAAATGGTCACTAAACCTCAAAAGAAGGAGAAGATGCCATCGCTGTAACAAAAAGCCATCAGAGACGGTCGCATATCATGGGTTCATGTGGGAATTCGAACTATCAAGCTAATAAAATTCTTTTTGCAACGATCGCATCTTCTTCTTCTGAACTATTCCCTGAAACTCGCCTATTCGCTTCTACCGGCTGTCAGTTCACTAAAAGAAACCTGACATTTAACATTCAACTGAAGTTTCCGGCGCGTCCGGGTGCACTGGTTATTTAGGCGCTATCCAGTAGCCTGTAGTTAGGACAAATGGCAGATGGAAGATATAACCGATGGTCCCTTTACATTGTAGATCGAACCTCGAAAAGCTAAATATTCGAATTGCCTGAAAACGGAACATATTACTTATGGGCAGTCAGGCTGCTGCATTATATGAGACACAGTGTTAAACTAGGTTACCACAAGTGCATGTTGGCACTGAGGTGAGAACCTCGTCCAAAACGCACTCTGACATTGAAGTAGCGTGCGACATCGTCTTTGATTTTGGATGCTAGAATAAATTTGTTAACATTTCTTAGAACGGGTGCGCAAAGTTTTCATTTATACCGATCAGTTTGTGGGGATATGCTTTTCTAGATTTTGTAATGGGATAGGGTACTATCGCCATCCCAAAAAACGTGTTTAAAAGAATGCACCGAATATCACATAATTGATAACACATTTTAATATGCGAAACTTTAACACTACTGCATGAAATATACATACGATACTTCACATCTATTGCAACTTATCAGGAACATCAGGAGGTCTCTTGCTATGGACTCCAACAGAGATCTATTCATTTCAAGAAAAATAAAAGCGAAAATGTATGTTTTAATTTAAAAAAACAGGAAGCAGCACTTTTTTCCACACCGAAATAATCATTTTTTCATGAGAAAATATCTCAGCTAATGCGTCTGCTAAAGAATGAGCGCAAAGAGTGAGGCGTTACGCTTCCTATGAAGTTTGGCTGGATATGTATGCGGTAGAACGCTCACCGATCAGGTTGCGGACATACTCATCCCGTTGCGCCTTGAAGTTCAGTCTGGAGCTATTGCGGACATCCGCATAACAACTAATAGTAATTTGCTACCAAGCGAATATAAGAAAGAATATTTTGCGCATGGTTTATACAGAATATGCTTAAATTTATAAGAACATCGAAAATCAATAGGAAAAATTCATGCTACTTATGCAGGTAGTTTTATCGAGCGCGGCTTTTACATGCAGCCGGAAAGAGGCTCATAAAAAGGCGGAATTTTTCTGTATTTCTTAGTTAGCTCGTTGCATCGTCGGTACTGTTTTCGATATAGTTTTAGCTATGAATTCCCACAATGTC